TGGTCTAGAGGGGCGGGGTAAAAATCAAATAAATAAAATAAAATAAAATAAATAAATGACCTCGGGAGATGGTAAGCATTCCAATGCTGGAGGCGTTCGAGAAAAAGTTAGGCAACCCTCTGTCAGATATCTGCTTTGATTTGGATTCCTGCTTTCACAGGAGGTTGGCTCGATGGCCTTACAGGCTTCTTCCAACTCAATGATTCTACGATTCTGCAGGTAGTACGTAATGGATGGGAAAAAACCTCCTGCTGTCAGTCAGCAGAAATCAATAGATCTTAAAAAAAAAAAAAAAAAAACTAGGGTTACAACTCCCTGAATCTCCCAGCCAGTTTGGTCACGGGTTTCAGAAACTGGCCAGAACGGCACAATGCAAACTACCTCGTATTTCAGGCAAAATATCCATGTCTTCATTTTGACAGTAATACAAGCAATGGAAGCGTGTATATATATATATGCATGCTAGCATTACTGTCAAAATGAAGATGTACATTTTATATATCCCCATATAGATATGGAGATCTATATTTTGCATTACAGTCAAAATGAAAATATAGATTCTCTCTCTCTCTCTCTCTCTCTCTCTCTCTCTCTCTCTGTGTGTGTGTGTGTGTGTGTGTGTGTGTGTCTATATGCTTTCATTACTGTCAAAATGAAGGCATAGATTCTACATTTGACAGCACTCACTTCAATGATGGCCTCATTGTTTATGGCAGGGTGGGTGACGAGATGTCCCCCAGCACAGCTTTGTCCATTTCTACCCTACTCCCCAAGACATTTGTAAATGTTGGTTTTGTTCATCAAGTTCTGGCCATCCCATCCTTATGGGATTATGGGTTTGCCAGAAGAGGGGGAGGAAATGCTTTTCCAAAGCCTAAAAGACTTGCTATGCATGGGAAACCCGGGTCAACTGCTTGGAAGGCAGCTACGCTCAGCACTATATAAGGGTGGGGAGGTCATTTTAAAAAAAGAGACTATTTTTGTTCACACCTGATTTATGTCAAGTTCTGGCCATCCCATCCTTATGGGATTATGGGTTTGCCAGAAGAGGGGGAGGAAATGCTTTTCCAAAGCCTAAAAGACTTGCTATGCATGGGAAACCCGGGTCAACTGCTTGGAAGGCAGCTACGCTCAGCACTATATAAGGGTGGGGAGGTCATTTTAAAAAAAGAGACTATTTTTGTTCACACCTGATTTATGGGATGTAAACAAGAGTATAAGGGTGGGGAGGTCATTTAAAAAAAAAAGACTATTTTTGTTCACACCTGATTTATGGGATGTAAACTTCAGCAATGTAACTCTGGGTTTTTAAGTCTCTTTGAAGCTTTTGAAAAAAGATTCAACGCAGATATCAGACAGTAATAATCCCATACAGATTTAAGAAACTCCGTTCATTTGACTGGACTTCAGAACAGGTAAATCATTGTTGGGTTTTTCCCCCCTAGCACATTTCAACTTTAGAAGCACATGCTTTGATTCTGAATTTTAGGAAGTTTATGAGAGATTATGTCCCAACATGCAGTGATACGGTTCAAAATTAATTTCTTGTTTCCCCAAATTTCTCAAATTCGGGGAAGGAGGGGGCAAATCAGGTAACAGGCCAATTGAGAGATAAGTATTGAGACCTCCTTGATTTCAGCGATAAACATAATTCGTTCGCCCATGAAAATCAGGACAATGAAAACATGCTTTACTCTTGGCTGGACTGGGCCTAGTCTTCTGGGGTCTCGACTTACGAACTTAATCCGTATTGGAAGGCAGTTCTCAGGTTGAAAAGTTCTTAAGTCGAATCTGCATTTCCCATAGGAATGCACTGAAAACCATTTAATCCGTATCTGCTCTTTTCGTCCATAGAAACTAATGGGAAGCTGCTATTCCGCCTTCTGCCACTAGAGGGGGATATTTTGTTTCTTTTTTCCTTTTAACCTAAGATGACTTAGCTTTTAAAAAAAGGGGAAAAAAGAGTTCGTAACTCGAATCTAAGTTCGTAAGTCAAGTCCATATATTCCTATGAGAGCGGTTCGTAAGTCGAAACGTTCGTATGTTGAGACCCCAGGAAAAAAATGGATATGCCAAATTATTCTGACCCCAGTTTCCATTTTAGGAGGAAGTGCACAGCACCGGCTTGCTCCTGTTAATCCAGCAAACTGCTGGATAGCTCAGTGGTTTAGGTCTCTAACTGTGGAGCTAGAGGTTGGGTGTTCGATTCCCTTATGATCCATGGGGCCCTTTCCAGCCCTGTAGTTCTAAGATGCTGCTGCCGATTAAGCAATAAACCTCTATTTCCAATTATATTTTAGCATGGTTGCTTTTCCAGTTGGGAAAGTGAGGCTAGGAAGCAGATTTCTTTTGGTCGGTTCCCTCCAGTTTGTTCTCTATCAAGCTGGCTCTCATGTGGGGGCTTAGTCTCCCCTACATCTAGATCAGGGGTTGGTGCCCGACAGCCTGCAGACCACATTGAGCCCCCTCTTTTTTGTGCTTGTCTGGGCCCTGTCCAAATCAGCTGATGCCACACTGTCTGAACTGCCACCACAGCTGCTGAAAAGTGCCACTTTCCCCGTAACTTCCACTCACTCTTCCTGCAGCAGAACCCTGTGAGATGCCACACTCCACCACCCCACAGCACTCTGTGGTGCGGGAGGACCCTCTGACGCCCTTCGGCATGCTAAAACCTCCTCAGCTGCCACAGAGTGTTTGCGTTGGGGGTACTAAGGGGGGGGCGAGCACGAGGGGCTCTGTGGGGAAATGGACCACTACACAAGAAACGGCATACCCCTAGTCCGGATGAAAGACTTCTAGATTTTGTGCTCTGCCATTTACCCAAGCGAGCCAGAGAGGTGGTGGAAATTAGAACCCTTACAAATGAAAACCCTTTCCGTTCCCATCTAGTTAACAGTTTGCTTCATCACCCAAGGTACAGCCGTGATGTGTTTAAGAGCGGATAAACGCACACCCCTTGTTTCTAAAAGAATCTAAACTGTGTTCCCAAAGGGACCATAAGAGGAACTCAGGTGTGGCTGTAAGTGAAGAAAGGTACGTGCTTGAATCTGGGGTCCTTTTTCGCTGATACAGTCACTGGACACAGACTGAAGATGGCAATGGCACGCTAGAAAGGCGTTAGGTGAAAACATGGGATGGGAGGGGGAAAGGGTGGTCTTCCTTCCATCATCCCCTCCTTCTCCACACGAGGCCAGGAGAACAGCTGACAGCACTGTTCATTCACAGGGCAAGGGGGCCCCTTTGGGGCAGAAGCCACGCGGTCCTCTCCCGTTGGATGAGGACTGAGGACAAGCAGCACTCCTGGGTAGGAAGAAGAGCCGAGTTCGTTCCCACCCTTTTAGAATCCCTGGAGGCAAAGGAGCCGGTCCTGCCTTGGTGCAGCTTCTAAATAACACTGAGTTTGTTTCTGCTCTGGGGCTCTGAGCTCCAGGAGCACGGTTAAAGCAGCATGATCGAGGCGAACCAGGAGGGCTGCCTCTGTCGGTCAACGGATGATATGACGGGATGCTTTTGGTGAAGGCAGACGGGGAGTCCGAGAGCCAAAGGAGCTCCACCAGAAAGGGCCCCCCCATCTTTAGGATTCCCTCCGCGGAGATGTCCCTCAGGTTGCTTGGCGTCCATAAGGTGTGGCCGGCGAGTTGTAAGGGCGAGCCGAGAGCTCGTCCAGGTGACTCCGCTCGACAGCCAATCAGAAACTTGCACTTGGTAAAGAGGATGTTCTTGACTGAGGCACGGCTTGGTTTCGTTTCGTTTCCAAATCCCTCCCAGGGAGTCCCCTGGTTGGGCAGTTCTCAGCTGTCTATGCTCATGAGGGTTATAACTTGTTCAAGTTTGTAGGCCAGTTTCTGCTTGCCAGCCTGGTCGTCTTGATCGAGGGCCCCGAGGATCTGCATAAAATGGAGGCGGGAAAGGGAGGTATCACTGTACAGGTCAGACAAAAGAGACAACCATCCACCTCTGAAATGGATCGTGGGCAGTTGACTTAGAGCTTGCAAAAATTACTCCTTTTTTTGACTACGATAAAAAAGAGCATGGTCAATGGGAGAGCCTGGGAGCCACAGTACAAAAAAAAGCAACTTTTCCAAACTCCATACAGGCAATGAAGATAACATGAGTGACCAGCTGACTTAGAACTAGATTTCGGCAAAATGTATTAACATATACACCGTACATTATATATCACATAATGTATTATATATTACATATTCTGCACTGCAAGCAGCTAAAATTTCTGCAGCCTGCATACGTACATTGCACAAATGATGCCAATCCCTGTGATTTCCATTGGCCAGTATTCTATAGGCGTTTGCATAGGGTTCGCGTAGCTTGCCATGGCTATTTGACGAGAGGCCAGGGGCATCTTCGATGGGTGATCAAATGCATGACAACACACAACATTGGGACACATCCCAGCACCTCATTAACTAGTCACAATTAGACACTGCAAGTTCCTCAGATCTCATCTGAACATCGATAGGATCCTGGCCATTATTTTATACGGTAAAGGTAAAGGTTCCCCTTGACAATTTTTGTCCAGTCGTGTTCGACTCTAGGGGGCGGTGCTCATCTCCGTTTCCAAGCCATAGAGCCAGCATTTTTGTCCGAAGACCATCTTCCGAGGTCACATGGCCAGTGCGACTTAGACACGGAACGCTGTTACCTTCCCACCGAGGTGGTCCCTATGTATCTACTCGCATTTGCATGCTTTCGAACCGCTAGGTTGGCGGGAGCTGGGACAATAGACGGGCGCTCCCTCCGTTGCATGGATTCGATCTTACGACTGCTTGGTCTTCTGGCCCTGCAGCACAGGCTTCTGCGGTTTAGCCCACAGCGCCACCACGTCCCTATTTTATACAGCCAAATCTTATTTTATACAGCCAAATCTTAATAGTTTGCAGGAGGGATTTTTCAATAGTTTGCAAAAGCTGATTCCAGCCACAGAAATAGGCTAGGGTCTTCTCCTTCAACCAACGTATTCCAGCCTACTGAAAACCTCCCCTTATGCAGTTGCAACTTCTTAGATTTCAAGAGGCATCTGTCACACGTATGTTCAGGCATATGATTGGAAACAAAGGCTAAAATATTGATTTAAACAAACACAAAACCCGAAATCCTTTCCTTTGAAAATTCTGCCAATACCTCAGGTGGACAGCACCACATCCTTTGATTTTTCTATGTGTGCATGCAACTGGAGAATAGAGATGAGGGTATTCGTAGACCAATATCTCCATCCCAGTTTTCCCTAATGAGGGTATGACCCCCAGGACCGGACCGTCCACTCACATGCTCTGGCCAGGCTACAGTCCCGCTCATCCTGCTCAGCTGGCCACTCCAGAGACGGTTCAGTAGGACGAGTCTCCCCAAATGGCTGCTGAGTGGCCAGCTGAGCAGGAAGACAATGGATCTCCAGGCGCCATTGGCAGGATGAGTGGCTACCGTAGCCAGGGTGGGACACATGAGTGGACAGTCTAGTCCCGGGGGCCAGACCCTCATTAGGGCCAGCTGGGATGGGAATACGAATCTCCCCATGTCTACTAGACAGCCATGCAATGGTCCATGCTCCAGTCTTTACAATAGTGTTTCAGACACTGAAATTTAGGTGTACATGTTATGTACAGAGGATCCTTGCATTAAATGGTCTAGAATAGTGGTCCCCAACCTTGGGCCTCCAGATGTTCTTGACTACAACTCCCAGAAGTCTTCATCACCACCTCTGCTGGCCAGGATTTCTGAGAGCTGAAGTCCAAGAACATCTGGAGGCCCAAGGTTGGGGACCACTGCTTGGAGAATGCAAAACAATGCATTTCCCTCTGGCTTTTCGCCTTTGTATGCCACGACAGGCCATCAATGTAGGTGGACCTGGCGGTGTGGTGACCATGATCTTGCTCTTCACCCTTCGCCCTACTTACCTCTTCGCTGTATTTGCCCACGTAGGAATAAATCTCAGAGAGCGCGCTCATGGTGTTGAACTCATTCATGTGCATGCGGGACTGCTCAGCCAGGTAAGCGTTCATGTCCTGGTCACTGATCGCTGGCATCTTGGCAATGTCTGAGTAGTACCTGAGGGAGACCAGAGAGATTGCTGAGATTGTCATGCCAGAGCAACTCCTACCGACAGACTGGAAAAAAGCCACCAGATCCTTTTGGCAGACTTGAGAGTGGCCTTCTCAGGGTCAAACTAGACAACTGGAGAATGGCTACATTATCCAACCTGTTTTCTCTTCCATGTTGGGCTTTCTTCAGCAACAGATACCGTATTGATCACTCACTGATCAGACTTGCAAATTAAACCTGTGTTCACTTCCCAGTGAGTCACAAACCACAGCACGCTAAAAGCAAGATACTTAGCTGAAGAAAACTGTGCAATGACCAACTGACTTTCTCCTCTCGAAGGAACTCTTGCCCTTCCTAAACACATTATACTTATTATCTAGCTTAACTCTCAGTTTGGTTCTGCATTAGTGAAATTCACTTCCCAGGAAGATTCTCCGGGCCTCTTCCTTATGATTTTTAGGCATGCTCTATGATGTTCTTCTTAAACGTTCTTCAAATATCTTGTTGCATTGAACTTCCGTTTCAAGGAACAATGATTTCTATTGCATGGTTTGCAACTCTGGACACTGTTCTTTATGAAAGATGGCAACAAACTGTAAAAAAGATCAGAGGAAAGCAACAAGGATGATCAGGGGACTGGAAATCAAGCCCTGTGAGGAAAGACTGAAAGAACTGGAGATGTTTAGCTTTGAGAAAAGGAGACTGAGGGGAGATAGGACAGCCCCTACAGATGACGTGTAATAATTGTCTCAAGTTACAGGAAGCCAGATTCTGAATGAATATATATAAAACCTTCTTAACAGTTAGAGTAGTACAACAATGGAGCTAATAACCTCAGGAGGTGGTGAGTTCTCCAGTGTTGGAGGCATTCAAGAGAAATCTGTTTGATCTGCTTTGATTTGGATTCCTGTTCAAGGGACTGGACTCAGTGGCCTTATAGGCCCCTTCCACCTCCACGATTCTATGATTTGCAATGCTTATTTGTCAGTTTCCTTGTTTATTTATTTATTTTTGCAAGGCATATAAATCACCCAGCCTTCATCTACAAGAGGTCCCAGGGAGGTACATATAGGAATATAAAAAGGCCAATACAACACGGTAAGAATACTCAAGTGGTAAAAGAGAAGGCACAAAAACAATTGCATGCATTAACAAAACAAAACAAAAAGGTTGTGTGGGTGTGGGTGGGACATTAAAGCATAAAATGTCTGGACCTTTTAAAAGAACATTGTGATTTGGCAGCCAAACGAAGGCTAAGGACATCTTTAACTTTACAATTGTCCCCATCTTCCCAGAAACTCTAAAATAAGAACAGGAATGTCATTTGCAACTGTCGAGAAATGCTGGAAAAGGTCCAGAGTTTTACAAGCCATAAACGATCAAGGACAGCAGGAAACCTGCCCCTTTCTACAGTCTCTCCTCTCTTCTCCTCCCCTCTTGTACAGGGACTCATTGTTGGGTAGATGGAAGTTTGGCACAAAGAAGAAAGTAACCCAAGCCAATGGGGCCGTTGAGTTCCAAGTTGTCTTCCATTTTCTCCACTGCCTGTGGACCTTTGCTGTTGCCCTCCTTTGCTAGAGCCGCCAGCTGAGAAAAGCCGGGGTGACAGCAGAAGTGGTTCACAGGCAAAAAAATTTCTGCAGGCAAGATAACTCAACTCAAAATATGGGATCCTCCAGCCCGAGGCTACAATCCAGTATCTGGACAGCTCAAACCTAGCTTCTAGAGGATGCTGACGTCTTCCTCAAAGCTGCAGGTCTCTCCCCCCGACCCCCCAACTCTGAGATCCAACTCATGGAATAGGGTGAGACTTTCCAAAACTTCCACATTGGGAAGGCAAGTGGTATGTGGAGAAACCTGCTCTTATCTCTAATCACAGATTGGAGATAAAAGCACGATTCCATTAGGCGCTCTGCAACGGCTTAACTGGGAAGATATGCTATATCAATGGGATCCCATTTCCGCCTCTGCTACCTGAAAGACTGGAGGTAACAGTAGGCTTCTACCCTGCCTGGCTCACCCTCCCAAATAGGACAGTGAGGGGGGAGGGGCAAGGGATACATGTTGGGCCATTGATAAGCCAGAGAGGCACAGAAGGAATTTGGCAAATGGGACCAAAGCACTGGACTGTCTCTGGGGCCTAAATACCCCTGGATTACATGCTTCCTAGTAGCCCTTTGTGTTCTTCCATTGCCTGTCTCCACTGCTCACAACTGCTTTGGTTCATCCCCAAGTGCAGGACATACAACTGTGGGTTGAAGTTAGAGGAAGCCAGATTTCGGTTGAATATCAGAAAAACTTCCTAACTGTTAGAGCAGTATGACAATGGAACCTATGACCTCAGGAGGCAGTGAGCACTCCCGCACTGGAGGGATTCAAGAGAAACTTGGACAACCACCTGCCAGGTTCCTGCATGGAGCAGGGGGTTGGACTTGATAGCCTTATAGGCCCCTTACAACTTCACTATTCTTTGATTCTTTACCTTGTAAGCTACTGCCTATTCCATCTCACTTACATTGGCTGCTCCTCGACCAGCTTAAACACATTTTTAAAAGCTCCAAATGGTAAAATATCTTCCCCAAATAACTCCCTCAAAAGGAGTCAGTACAAGTGTGTGTTTTTTGTTATATTGAAGAACTGACAGCCTATGTCATTCTGCCATTGTTGACCTAAACAGTAACACACGGGAGGCCCCCCTCAGCTGTCCTAATAAGTGGGGAGTAGCAAGAGCTGGATAAAATCCGGACACACAAAGGTCTCCCCCTCCCTCCAAAATTCCAGTGTCAATACTGCTTGCCATCTTTTTCATCCACAGCAAAACTTTGCTGCCTTCCCTTTCCTGCCTCTCTGCATCAGCACCTGACTTTATGGTTCAAGAAATGCTCCCTGTTCAAGCCATGGCATGCCTGCCTGCCTACCTACCCACACAAAGGAGTTCCAACCTATCACGGAAGCAGGGGATTAAACTTGGGCCATCAGGGTTTGGGAAGTGGATCCATAAGACTGTGCAAGGACAGGCCAAACTCTGCCCTTACCCTGTGGATACCTACTACCTACCTACCCAGACAAACACACACACACAGGGAGGGTCCAACCTATCAGGGAACCAGGGGATTATACATGGGCCATCAGGGTTTGAGAAGTGAATCCATAAGACTGTGTAGGGACAGCCCAAGCTCTGCCTCCACCCCTTCGCCAGCTACCTACCAACTGATCAACTGACTCTTACTCTTACCATTGCTACCACCACCATTGTTTCCAATTTTCAAGAGTGAGACAGGGTGTGAGAAAGAGCTTCGTGCAGGAAAGGAACACCAAGCCCACTGCTCAGCTGGCTATTTATTTTCCAAACCAGGCATCATTGATGGACTTCCCAGGAAGAGATGCCTACGATGCAGCACAGACCATCTGCCAAGACAACGTGGCATTTGGGGGATAGCGAGTTCTTGACACGGGCACAAAGCAGGCTACTTTGCATTGTGCTTCAAGATCTTGCAACCTGACCCTGAAGACTCTGTATCCAGAGCCTGATATGGGTGCCCCAGCACGACATGAGATGTAGAAGGTTGCAGGTGACATTTCCAGGTAAGGGTGGGGGGAAAACTCAGCCTGATGACCTGGTAAGCCATTGTTACTCAATGGCTCAAATCCTGTTGTGCTGCTATGCCAAAGATGGAACTTTGGGAGGCGAATGGCCTCAAGGTAAGACATCTCCCTAGACATCATGGGCTGCATACTGAATCATGAAACTTGGCATGCCACCGATAATGTCTATAGAGATTTCCTAACTCTGCCTACAAATGTTACTCTTTGTACGCAGCTTGGACAACAGGATTCAGTCAGTATATCAACTACAGCATAAACAACACCAAGCTTAGGTGTCTCTCATGGAGAAGCCATCTGCCTTCATTCCGACTGAATGCAAAAGTTTGTCTCTCCAAGGCACTGTGTCTTTAAGGAAGTTGCTATTTTGGCTGCCCTCCCTCCCTCTCTCTCATCTCTCTCCCCCCCCCCCCAAAATATGGCAGGCCTTAGAGGGCAAGATTTGCGGAAGGCAATCAGTCACTGTCACCAGCAGCTGTGCTCTGCTGTCAACTGGTTAATTAGGCGCCATCATTTACATTTTTAATTTCTTCAATTTGACATTTTGCGTGCGCACACGTGCACGCACACACATACACACACACACACACAAGCCCCTCTCTCGCCAACGCCGTCCGCGATGTTGTAATTAGGGAGACGGCACAGAGCAGGGAGCCAAAATAGCTGACAGGTGCCTTGTTGATGTTGCTGCCACCACCTGCTGAGTTCAGCAACCGAATCTCTAGGGACAGAAACAGTGGGATGCTGGAAGCGTACAGCATACAGCATCCGGATGCAAGGAAGTGGAGCACTCCGGACTTTTTAAAGCTGGCTGCCACTGCTTGCCCGCCCCTGCTGGAGGGGACCACAGATCCATCACATGCCACCAGATCATGCTTCTCTCTCTCTCTCTCTCTCTCTCTCTCTCTCGGCTTCTCTGGAAACTTAGGATGGAGGTAAAAGCACCGCCTTCTTAAGCCACCCCAAGACCTTCCTGAATAAATAAATACAGCTACATATTATTGGAATATATTTCAAGGCAGTATTAAAAAGTGTTGCACTAGGCGGGAGGGACCCCATCAGGCAGGGAACCAAAGATGATAAGAGCAAGACTGATCTTAGTTACCATTTGAATATATGAGTAATTGTTTAATTTTTTTAATGTATACTTACTGTTTTAGTTTTTAAACACTGTTTTAGTCACGTAAGCCGCCTTGGGTCCTTTTGGGGAGCATAGAAAGGCGGCATAAAAATATTCTAAATAAATAAATAATCAATAGATAAGAGATGGCCCTGTTGTCATATTTCATTTTTGGGCTTGGTTTGATCACTTTCGTTTGATGCATTGGATTATAATGATTTACTTGTCATCTATTTTAAATGGCTTAGTGTTGATTGTTAATTTGACTGTCTGACTGGGATGG